CTAAGACTGCATTTAGTTATGGCCAAGGTCTCTGGTAATACCGTGTGATGCCATTCGGGCTTAGCAATGCTCCAGTGACATTTGAGAGGCTGATGGAAAGAGTATTGGAAGGCCTACAATGGAGAATAGCCCTAGTGTATATGGATGATGTCATTGTATTTGCAACAACTTTTGATGAGGACATGTCCTGCCTAGAGGAAGTATTCAGTCGTTTGCAAGCAGCAAACCTCAAACTCCATCCCAAGAAATGCCACTTGTTCCAGAAAGAGGTGCTTTACTTGGGTCACATTGTAAGTGAGCATGGTGTGCAAACTGATCCTGACAATGTGAAAGCAGTGCGTGATTGGCAAACACCAGACAATGTGGGAGAGTTAAGAAGACATTGAGTCACCTATGACAGATATTTTACTGGATAGGTTTGAGGCGAGATGTGGAAGAATGGTGCAGGACATGCAGAACATGTTGTGCTAAAAGGGGACCCAAGCATAAAGGACGTGCTCCGATGACGTTATATCAAGTTGGCACACCAATGGAAAGAGTAGCTGTTGACATTGCTGGTCCTTTGCCTCAAACTCGTGCTTGTAACAAGTACATTTGTGTGGTGATGGATTATTTCAACAAGTGGCCTATGCAATACCAAATCAGGAATCTACAACTATAGCTTCGGCTATTAGTGATTTCTTCTTCAGATTTGGTATGCCAAATGAATATCCCCAAATTAAAAATAGTTATAATGACCTGTCATAAAAGTCAATATACGCGAAATGTCAAACTGTTCAATAGCATTCTGAGAGATCCCCCCTATATAAATCATTTACTATATAAATCATCTACCATATAAACCATCTACCATATAAACCATCTGCTATATAAACCATCTGCTATATAAGCTATCTACTATATAAACCAGCTACTATATAAACCATCTACTATATAAATCACTACAATATAAACCATCTACTATATAAACCATCTACTATATAAATCATTTACTATATAAATCATCTACTATATAAACCATCTACTATATAAACCATCTACTATATAAACCATCTACTAGGTAAATCATCTACTATATAAATCATCTACTATACAAACCATCTACCATATAAACCATCTACCATATAAACCATATACTATATAAACCATATACTATATAAACCATATACTATATAAATCATCTACTATATAACCATCTACTATATAAACCATCTACTATATAAACCATCTACTATATAAATCATCTACTATATAAACCATCTACTATATAAACCATCTACTATATCATCTACTATATAAACCATCTACTATATAAACCAGCTACTATATCATCTACTATATAAATCATCTACTATATAAATCATCTACTATATAAATCATCTACTATATAAACCAGCTACTATATCATCTACTATATAAACCATCTACTATATAAATCATCTACTATATAAACCAGCTACTATATAAACCATCTACTATATAAACCAGCTACTATATAAACCATCTACTATATAAACCAGCTACTATATCATCTACTATATAAACCATCTACTATATAAACCAGCTACTATATCATCTACTATATAAACCATCTACTATATAAACCAGCTACTATATCATCTACTATATAAACCATCTACTATATAAACCAGCTACTATATCATCTACTATATAAACCATCTACAATATAAACCATCTACTATATAAAAACAAAAAGCCGTCCGTCTGTCATGCCGATATCTCGGTCGTTGCGGTTCGCATTTTATACGAAACGACGGCTCTTTTTGGCGTGAGAAGCCAGTTTGTCTTTTTAAAATACTTTCAGCCATAAATAAATAAATATATAAAGCGTACGATGTGCTTGTTTGTTTGTTTTTAATTATGCACAAAGCTACACAAAGGCTATCTGTGCTCTGCCCACCACGGGTATCGAAACCCGGATTCTAGCGTTGTAAGTCCGCAAACATACCGCTGTGCCACTGGGGGCCAGGAGAAGCTACAAACGACACTTCTGTTTTATTGTTGCACTAATGTAATACATGCTGTTAGTAATGCTTCCTTTACTGTTAATCCTATTATATCGTATATTTGTCTTTGTCTATAACTAAGTATTAACTAACATTGATGTATATTTGTCTTTGTCTATAACTAAGTATTAACTAACATTGATGTATATTTGTCTATAACTAAGTATTAACTAACATTGATGTATATTTGTCTATAACTAAGTATTAACTAACATTGATGTATATTTGTCTATAACTAAGTATTAACTAACATTGATGTATATTTGTCTATAACTAAGTATTAACTAACATTGATGTATATTTGTCTATAACTAAGTATTAACTAACATTGATGTATATTTGTCTTTGTCTATAACTAAGTATTAACTAACATTGATGTATA